TAATTTAACATTTCGTAAACTCTGATGAAACATCCCTCTTCCCTACGTTACCCCCTCACAGATAGTTTGGGTGGGATGGGGCTGAGATTACTATAACACATAGTATATTATTGTTATAGTAATCTCAGACCTGATAAAATAACTAACTCTACACAAGAAAGGGTTAAAAAATAAAATAATTATGAAGAATGTAAACAAACTGTGACCTCGATCAAAACGGTAACAAGCTTATTGTCAAAAAGAATGTTCCATCCACAAAAAAACGTGTCACCCCTTTCCCGTCAGAATATCGCCAGTCGTTCATTATAAACTCTAGTCTGGTATTTTCTTCATCTGTAAGTACAAATATTTCATAAAATTATTTGTTTTGCCACTCTCCTCCATCGACATCCATCGTAACAAAATTTTCGCTATAAAAGCGACCGAGGAAACGGTTATTGACATTTTCCGTAACGAGAAATGTTAAAACAGTGCTGTGATGAGAATTTTTTAATATATATTATATTCTTTTGACTTATTTATATATTAAGACAAAGAGTTCTTATAACTGTTCTATGGATAGAACTGACTAAATCAATTCTAGCCGTAGAACTGACCAAATCAGTTCTAATCGTAGAACTGTTCTAGTCGTAGAACTGTTCTAGCCATAGAACTGTTCTAGTCGTAGAACTATCTAAAACTGTTCTAGGGTAGAACTGCCAGGATCAGTTCTAGGTAGAACTGACCAAATCAGTTCTAGGTTAGAACTGTTCTAGCTAGAACTGTTTAAAAGGTGTATGAATGACAGTTCTACATACTGTCCTAGAACAGTTCTCCTGACAGATTTTCTTTTCAGGGCATATAGCTTGGTCAGAAGATTCAGGTGGTGTATTGTTGACCGCTATGTACAATGTGTTCAAAAAGAAGATCGGCAATAAACAAGACATTGATCTTCTTCCAACCATGACCAAAGTCTGTAACAAAATGGTGGACTATGAGTCAAGCTTCTCTGATCAACGGTATGACCGTTCTAAAACTGCCATGTGTCTTCTTCATATGTTAGGAGAGGAAATTATTTTTAAACCAAAATACTTACTACTTTGTATCTTCTATACCATCTTTATGATTCAGTCAGGTTGCATAATGCAAAACTTTCCTATGTGGCCTAAGTTTTGGAGTAAATAATTTTTAAGCTTTTGGTGCTAATAGATTTTATAGTCCCCCATTGACAAAGTAGGTTTTCATCAGTGTATATGTAAGGTTGATGATAAAAAAAAAGTTTCCATTGAAAAAAAGTCACTTTAGAAGATCTGCTGATATGGCAATTGTTTTTCCGGCAGCTGCAGATATGGTGTCTTTTTGTCTTTTGGTTGCATCATTATTTTTCCAAACCTAATAATCCAAACTTTTGAAAATATATATGAATCAAAATGTTACTTTCAATACCATTTTCCTCTTTTCTGTTTGAAATAATTGTTTCTAGTATTTTCATCTTTCTCCGTATAGATGCATAATTTTATGCTTTTCAAGTCATTTAAAACATGATTTAGCCAGCTTTCAGATTATTAATGATTAAAACACTAGCACCACATTTGATAAGTTATTCAACGGGGTTTAAGAGAACAAATTTTACATGTTTTTCATTAGATGCATTATTTGACCATGGATTTGTGGCCCATTTACCTTTTAAATAATATTATCCTAGTAATTAAAAAAAAAATTAAGACATTTCGGGCCACTGTCCTTCTTCTGTTTCTTTATTATCCTTCTAAACTAAATGTGTTCCCTATTGGAATTGGCAGTTACTATTTGTCCGGCTAGCCGGACGAATAGTTCCAGGACTATTTGTCCGGCCAGTTCAATGCGCATGTCTGTGAGTGTGAAATATTATCTTCTGCAGCACCAGGGTGTGGCAAATTATATATATGGACATCTATAAAGCAATGTTTTGCAATCTTAAATTGTAAGGCCCCAATTTTGTTACTGTTAATTGAAATGGTTGTTTTCTTCAAATAAAGTCCAATGTGGTCAATGTATATTAGAAAAAAAATCATATATATTCAATGTTATATCTATATCTATTGCTTCACATTGCAAAAAGAGGGAGGAAATTACTTGTACACCAAACTTGGGTCGTGATTGGCTCATGCATTTTAGATTAAGTTAACGTAAGGATTTTCTTGTTGAAACTGAGGTACAAAATTATCATGTCTGAGACTGTCAAACAGATCGAGTTATAGATCCCCTTTTTAAGCTTAACATACAGTTGTCCCTATTTTGAGTTAGGGGTGATGAGAGGGTTGGGGTAACACGTGGCGTTCCTTCAGTTTCCAAATCCCTCTTTTCTTTTTACCCAGATCCCACCTTTATTGTCCACTATATTTCATATCCCCACTTTTTATAATCCTACATCTCACATCCCCCACTTTTTTTAAGTTATACTATCGTATTCCCTTGTCAAATTCTGAAAACTGGAAAATTATCACAAATATTAATATCCCCGTTTTCAGCCGGCCATGATCTCAAAATTGAAAATCAGTGATCGGATTACACGCGACCCCACGTGCTTCTGAAGATAATATTACACTCACTTTCGTACGCACATAAAATGACATGCGCATTGCAATGGCCGGACAAATTGACCTAGCACTATTCGTCCGGCTAGCCGGACAAATAGCCACTCCGATTGGAATTTCTATACAATATTTAAGATTAAAGTTGAATTGATATAAAGATATTAATATCAAAGGCAATTTAATATATCATCTCTTATAAAGTAAATTTAAATGAACATTACATAATCTGAGAACTGAACCCTTGTATAAATACATTGCATTTAAAAATTCCATTGAAATTCCAGTTTTAAACCAAGGATTGAAGTAACTACCTGTAGATTATACACACATATGATCACTCATTCTCATTCTTACTATAAAATTTTGATGTCATATGATATATCTTTCCATGTGAAATCTTAGGCAGTAGAATATGAAAATAAGGAGACGTGGTATGATTCAGTCTGATTAAAACCAGCCCCCACTATTCACTTGCGTACGTACTACAAACGCGAATGGATAGTGGGGCTGGTTTTAAACAGAGTGGATGTAAGCAATTATAGGCAACTGTACAGCTGTACTCATCTTTTGAATAAATTATAATCATGTCTATACATTTGCACATATTCTGGTATCCTTGAGATATTTTCGTGATAATTACATTAAATTAATAAACTATTGAAATTTGCTTTAATTGTTCAGCCACTGGGGGCTGCTAGTCATTGGGGGGAATTAAGTGTTTACCTTCCGTCCGGCATCCGTCCCATTTTCGTTTCAGCTCTCTAACTTGAATTTTACTTATACAATTTTTTTGAAACTCATACACAATGCTAAGAACCGCAACAAGCAGACATAGTTCAAATTTTGGCAGTGAGTCATTTACTGTTCTAGAGTTATGCCACTTTTTAACTTAGAAAATTGCAAAATATAAGCAGGGGCACTAGAGTCCTCAGACACATTCTTCTTTCTATTTTTTTTTAAATTGTACACTGTGTAAAATATTTTTTATTTGTTTCTAAAATTTCAACCTCTGATGGTTTTTCATCAATTTATTATAGATTCTACCTCAATACTGAATTACTTAATGATATCTATGTACTTGAAATAATTAAATTGTCATACCTGCCAACTTTTGAAAATCCCTATGGGGGTTTTAGTGCGCCACATGATTGTTGTACTGATATTACTGTGTAGAAAAGATAGTACATGTAGCTACAATACCAGCAAAATATTTTCTTCTGTATAAAAAGTGACTGTTGACTTTTTCATTTGTGAATATGGAAAAAGAATGACATTTATCTAATTCCTTGTGAAAGAATTAGAGACAATACTTTTATGATTTAACAATTCAATACTAAGAATGACAACACTTAGGATCTGTTAAAATAAGTGTAGAACCCTATTTGATATGTTAATGGTAGTACTGCAACTGAAATTTAGCAATGACAGCACACTTTATTGACTTGTACTAAACTTGATTCATATTTTAATAGTCTGCAAATATATATAAAGTGTAAATTAAGACATAAGAGCAACTAATTTATTTGACGTAAAAGTAATAAGGTCAATTCTTTTAATATGTATGACAGACTAATTTGCCAGCTTTAAAGGTATACTGTAAATTCAGAAATTATTGCATGCATTTGTAATTGCTATTTCGACATAACAGAGTAAACAGACCCAAAATGTGAGAATAATTATTGTGATTACAGGAAAAACTGCATAAAATGATTTCAAAATGTGAGTTCTTATTTTTGCAATACTCACCCAGTCGCATTATGTACATTGATAAAAACCTTGCAACAATTTATGAATTTACATTTATTCGTTCAGTGTATGTTTACTTGTTTTTGTTAATATGTCTTTTGATTGAGTTAAGTTATTTCAATTGATACTTTAAAGTGTGTCTTTCTATTTTGTGATGTTACACTATTATTTCAGGTTAGGGTGAAGGTTGGCCTGTTAAAACGTTTAAACCCGCTGCATTTGCTTGCACCTGTCCTAAGTCAGGAACCTGTTGTTCAGTGGTTGTCGTTTGTTGATGTGGTTCATAAGTGTTTTTTATATAGATTAGACCGTTGGTTTTCCTGTTTGAATTTACACTAGTCATTTTTTGGGCCCTTTATAGCTTGCTGTTCAGTGTGAGCCAAGGCTCCGTGTTGAAGGCCGTACTTTGACCTATAATGGTTTACTTTTACAAATTGTGACTTGGATGGAGAGTTGTCTCATTGGCACTCATAACACATCTTCTTATATCTATTTATAGTATACAGTAGACATAAAGGAAGTCATTTGTTTATTATAGTGACTAGTGAACATTGTTATTAAAAACTAAAACGGCTACAAAGTAGTCAATGTTATACCCGGCCCATTGGACCTATAAGTCACCTATTTAAGAATATGTATATAGGTTTATACACAAAATATACAATGTATTTAATGTTCAAGTTTTTTTACAATTTTTTGAGTTCACAGCCTATAAATCTCAGTACTGTAGTACAATAAAATACACTGTGATGAAAGTTAACATTGCAATATAGGATAGTACAAAACAAAATCTATCTAAACCTATGGCTATGTCTTTATAGTAAATTCTACATTTTTCTTCTGGAATTACTTGATTTTTTCTCCGTTTCTTAAATATAACATACATGTGCTTAAAAAATCCTTTTAATTCATAGTCGCTTTTATAAAATAAATATGCGTTAATGATATTCATGAATGTTATGACAGCACTTGCTACGAAAACCATAATGATAAATACGATCATAAATGATATAGGATTTGATGTGGCAGGAATCTTGTCAGAGACTAGGGTCAAGAAGATAACAAACGATAAGAGTATTGTTATTCCATAGCAAATTCTTTCGCCACATTCGTGTGGAAGTAAAAACACTAGCGGATTTAGTATTGAAAGTAGAGCCACGGGTAAAAATACCAATATGTTATAGTATAGTGGTTCCCGCTTTATTTTAAAAACAAATTCATGAGAAGTATTACCAAAAATTTTTCCCTGCCTCGAAATAACACTTTTTATATTCCAGTCTGGGTGCTTGTTTTCATAATAGTCATTGTAGGGAATTGATGCTGGTTGAAGATGAGTTTTCCACGTAATATCCCATGCCATAAATAGAACTGAGCATTCTTGTTCATCATAGGGAAATTTTCTTATATTAGCTGCACATTTAGAATTAATTATGTCTGCAGGTGTCCAATATATAAATCCATCGTGACGAATCAGTATTTTGAATAAACTATTGGCACCGAATGGTTGAAGTTGTTGTGCGTCTGTCATTAGTGTTACATGTGGAAACCATATAACTGATTTAGAAACCAACATTTCTGATATGCCATTGTAGTCCTTTGGGTTCCATTTCAAAGAATTGTCAAACCATGAAATATCCAAGCCACCTGATACAGATAATATTCCATTAACTTCATCAAAGTGATTTAATCCAAGATTGAAAAAAGCTATAGTAATCGACATGGTAACATTTGAAACTGGTTTCAGGTCTGGATTATATTGATTGTTGAATAAGTCATTGTATAGTTTCTCATAAATATCTATGTCTTGGCAAACTGTTACATTTAAAATCCTAAATAACAAGCATACAAGAAGGACACCAACAAACATTTTGAAAACTTAGTGTTCGGATGAATTCTGGAAGCTCTGATATGATAATATCAAGTTTATTGGTGCCTACGTCATTGTTTAATTTAATAGATTAAATAATTTGTTTTTTAATATTTTTCAGCTGTCAATGAAAAGTTAAAAGAATGTAAATATTGATCAAACATTAGAAATTTTTATAAAGAATAGAGTAAGGTCTCTTTTGTTTACATCTCTTAGAAGGAAATTAAGGGTCATTTGTATTTTGTTTACAGAGTTTTAACTTAATGACCATATGACGATATAGTCTTTCTTTTTAAGTGCATTAAATTTCACAAATAAGGTTATGGTAAATTAATTTTAAAATAGAGATATTGTTTGTTTATGACTGAGATATTGATTGTTAATAAATACGGTCAAATGTTTTTGTGGTCTATTTACTAAGTAGTTTTAATTGAGATGCGATGTTTATTGACCATGGGAAAATGTTTTAATTGAGTTGTGATATTGTGATGATGATCATATTGCATTTTGTCTTTTATCTGGTAATCGGTATATATATTGACCACTCTGTCACTGTTTTTGGTCTGCTTTTATTCTGAAAAATGGAATAAAAGGTTAGTGAGTGATTTTCAAAGTTCATGATATAGAATACAATATTTAGATATTAAGAGATGTTTAAAGTAATGAGATTGGTCTGCAGTCTTGCCTAGTAACTGTTATTTTGTCAATTTAATGTAGAATGCAATATTTCATGCAATTTTAAGTCATGAGATTTGGTTTACAGTTGTCAATGATAACTATTTTCTGCAAGAGAATCCAGCCACTGTTAATACTTTAGAAAAGTTAATGAAGAATAAATATTTAGAGATGTGTTGAGTAATTAGACTTAATCTGCAGTTATCACTGGAAATTATTTTTATGCTTCCCTAAAAAAAATTTCTGGAGAATGTTAATAGCCATGCAGTGATAGCTGTTGCTTTGTCCTTTTGTCTACCTGTCCCTCCAAAACAAATGTTGAGTATCCCATGATGGATTTGAGTGAAACTTATATAGATGGGAGATATAGGACATGGAGGGCGGGCAAAAAGGGGTGTTTATATATGAAGGTTCTTTAGCACACATTTACAACACAGGACAGCTACAGTGTATAAAGATTGAATTTTCACCGAAAAAGAACTTTTGTTTTAATTTTTTTTCAGCATTCTAAATGGACATGAGCCGCTAGTACCAGCGGATAAGCCAAGGTCAGAAAGGCCTGTCCAAATTTTTCTAGGTGGTGGCCCAAAGGTTTCTTTTTATATCTTTGTTATGTAACTATGGAGATCATCTGTGTCTTGGCTTGCTGTTTTATTTAATAGGCGAGGGACATTTTCCAAAAAGACTCTTAGTTAAGGACTTTAATGCACCCACCTAACACACGGCTATATTATATATCATTCTAAATCTGATTATCTGTACTTTTTTATTTGCCAGGTCGTAAAAAATTGAAGGATGCGATATCTGTTAAATCAGGGTCAAAGGTCAAGAATGAACTTTCCTAAAATTTGCTAGAATTAAACAAAATGCTAATTCTTGAATCTTGTATACAAATATTGACTAAATATCATAAGAACCTGATAGAACATAATGCAATAATTTCATATTGAGTGCAAACTAAAAGGTTAATTGCACAATATTTACAGAAATTGCAATTCTAAAAAAATCCTCCAAAATTTTAAATAATTGCTCTAAAAGAAAAATATTTCTTGGGGGATCGATATTTACATGCCAAAAAAGAAGTGAATTTATCATTGTTTAGGTCAATGAATGTTGGTTGTTCATGAAACAGCCTTCTTTTGAAGCTTTTGCAGTTTCCCAAAATACCGCTATCTGCAAATAGGGATCATTTTGCTTTTCTGTGTTTAGATAACACAGTGATTATTGTCAATATCAAGTACATGTAGTCAATAATTTGCCACACTTAAAGATGGAATGTTTTAAGGTTATAAAAGGAATATACTAAATGAATACAGTAAAACCTTTTTTTTTTTGTAAGTCGAATTGATTTACCTTTTGAAATCATGTTGAAATACCAATAGGACCTTGCTCCTAAATCGGTGGCAAAATTGAAATCAGTTACCTGTGTTCGGAAGCACTTAGTTTTTAAATTGCATGATATCAACCAACTAGAGATAAACTACTGCTTTTTTGTTTAAAAATGTGTTACACACAGGGGCGGTTCCAGGATTTTTGAAAGGGGGCGTAATTCCATAAAACATGTTTCACCTTTCAATATACCAATTTACAGTCACTGATTATTTTCTGATTTTAAAATGTAAGGGTTTGCTGAGCATTTTAAATTTTAAGATTTACTTATCAAGAGTGGATAAATATTATATTTAATGGGTTAAATTGTTAAAATCAGTTTCTCACAGCAGGTGTAATATTCCAAATAGATTTGGCAGAAGCCATACACCATTTTATCAATATGTTTTATCAAAAATTAAGCTTATTTGTCAGAGTTGGTTAAATTGCAGGAAGAATTGTAATATCATGTTAATATTATTCATTATGTTTTTTTTTTGCATAAGCATTTTGTTAGTTACTTATATGTTATATAAGTTATGTTTATACACAGTTTGATTCCATTACACTGAGTAGTCATTTTTAGGATTTTCCCAGGATGTTTTGTTTTCTTTACCATTGAGAAGAAACAGATTTATTATCATATCTTAATCAGCTACATGTGCGTTTATCAGGTGTTCTTAGCAGGGGGTTGAATTACATCAGTTCTACTATGAATATACATACATTTTTTTTTTAATTAGTGAGCCTTGTGGCATTTGGCTTTCATTTGTCCTTTATTTGTTCGCACATAAACTTGGGTATAGTTTAGCTCCTCCCATTTAGGAATATCCCATTAAGAAGTTTGTATATTGAAAACCAGTACATGCTGCCCTTAGTGTCCAGTTTTTTAATGCAGATTAAGCAGTTAAAAGAATAATTTTTGCTCAAAAAGTGGCTTAGCTAAAAACTTGCCACCCACCAACCTCAACCAAACACCTTCAATATTGCCATGACAAGGGAATCAATCTCAGCACAGTTTATATAAGATTTTTATTGATTTTTTCTGTAAACATGTATGTATATGTTATACATATTGCTTAAAAAATTCATTCTAACACCAAACTCATATCAGTAGATCTTAGCAACCAGCAGTGCAATAATTTACTTTTAGAAGCTATGTTGGATTGGTGTGATGTCAAGCCAGGGGTCTATACTTTGCTACTTTTCAGTACGCACATAGGCTGCTGGTTTAGGCATGGATCAGATAAATAACCTCAGCATCTGAAGCAAGTCCATCATATCTGGACATTTATGAAATTTTATCACTGGTTATTTCAAATATTTCACTCATCCCCCAAGAATTTCTGGGAATAAACTATCAAATTTCATACAAATTCATTCCAACACCAATTCAAAATCAAAACTACTACTCATAGCCACATAATAGGCTTCCTCATAGCTTCATTATATGCTTCCTCATAGCCTCATTTTAGGCTTCCTCATATCCTCATAGGCTTCCTCAGACATAGCCTCATAGGCTTTCTGATATAAAATAATAAAAGTAATAGTTCATTTATGATTTATGTTTCATTCAAACCTGGATACCACTGGCGCTGCTACACAATACATGTATTTACACAGAAGTTTATTTATAATGGGAAAGAGCAGTACTTTGAATTATGTTGATAATATTGTTGATATGAGTACTAAATGCTTAATTTTACATATCATGAGTTCTGAAGCAAATCAGGATAATTAAAATATTGCTTAAGTTATTGCGAACAAAATGAAATTTTTCCGCAGATTCATCTTCTATTGGTCAATCTATTTAAACATTTGTAAGTTCTATTGTCCCTTGTAATAAAAACAATAGATATTGTTCTCTGTGTAGTTTATTCACTGGGACCTTTATTGATATATTTTCGATCTGTTGAATGTAAACAGTGATTCAAACATTAATAAAAGTTGATTACTGACAAAATTTTCAACATTGTTCCTTTTTAAATTTTTTTTTTTTTTGTGTTTGACAAATAAAAACAGGAAAATGATGATGTTTAAATTAAGGCCTTCTTTAATGTATTCTATAACTAAACAAAAGCAATTTCAATAGGAACATTGATAAAGCTTTTGTCAGAAATCAACTTTTTTATGATTAAATCAGTGTTTATATTGAACAGATTGAAAGTATATTACTGATATTGAATAAATACAACATCACATGCAGTTTTGTGAGTATAGAACATGTATTTTCATCTTTTAGAAGATAATTCTTTTTCACTCAGGTAAATCAATCAAAGAGTGATGGAGTTCTCTTAGAATAAATTTAAAGGTCCCAGTGAATAAACTACACAGAGAACAATAGCTATTGTTATTTATTTAATTGGACAATAGAACTGACAAAAGTCTAAATAGATTGACCAATAGGAGATGAACCTGCGGAAAAGTTTCATTTGGTTCGCAATAATTCAACAGATCAGCTGTTCTAGTTTGTCGGGAATTACCACCGTCTTCAGTCTAGCATGGAATAGTTAGCTTTGGCTTAGAAATCAAATATTGACGGATCCACTGGTGAATTTGCTATAGATAGCTGGACTTAAAATGATATCACATGGCCTCATATATTCTACCAATACGACGGAGGCTCGTTCTGTCGTTTCTCTGGCTGAAGGGCTCGTCAGCCTTGGAGGGTAGCCCATCTAAGAGAAAGAAAACCTTCGCTGCCTTGCGGCCACACCCTAATGCCAGGGAAAGGCTTCAGGTGACAACCTCGAGGAAAATCCTGAACTAGGAATCTGTAACATCTTTCCTGTACTTTCAGGATCAGAACA